GGAGGAAAGAGGGAGAGAAAGAAAACGTTAAAAGTCCTCCTGGCCAAGTACAGTATCTCACAGCTGGGCCCAGACATGTGGTAAGAATGCCGCCTATGCTTTTTGCCCTTTGCCACACCTTGTTCCAAAGCCCACCAGCCTTGCAGTGTGTCTCCACATTATTTGAGCAATGCAGAAAGCAGCCTGTAAACTTGCGAAGCTCTTAAATTATTATTATTAAAAAATACAATAAGCAGCTCTTCCCAGGCTCTTCTAAATTCAGAATCAGTGGAAAGGCCCTGGCCTTGCAGCTGGGAAGACAGAGCTTATCCACGTCGTGAAGAACACTGCCATTCAGAGCGTCATCAGGCGCTCGAGTCTGGGTCAGCGTTCGGGGGTTGCAAATCTCCCTCACCAACTCCAGCAGGCAGATCCAGGTTCTTCCCAGAGCCTGGATCCCAAAGCTGCCTTTCAGGTCTGGGCCAGCATGATTGTTGGCCGGGACACAGGTCCCGTGGGCTCCAAGGCTTACCTCTTCCCTGTTCCTTCGCCTTCTAAGGGCACTTCCACACATGTGGCTGTCACCTAGCCGCTGCCCATGAGGAGTCAGGGCAGCCAGACCGGCCAGCCCTGGCTCTGTGCTTTGTCCTGAAGATCCACACCCTGCCCTGCCTTCCTCTCAATACTAATTGCCTGAGAGCTAGTTTGGTTTCAAGAAACAAGAGCCTTGGGTTTCCCTGGGAGCCCGTTGCCTCCGCTGCTCTGAGCCTGGACCCTGTCACCCTCTAAATGGTTGGAAATTATACCTCTGCTCAGAAAGGGGGTAGGGGTGGTGCAACCAGGCTAAATATAGACACAATTTCTAGAAAGTCAGGGGTGAAAAAGGGCATTACTAGAGACTAATTCATCAAAACACAAGAGACAAGTAGTCCATAACAGCGTGAAGGGTCTGGGGCCAGAGTTTGAGGCCTGGGACAATAGGGTCCTTCTTTAGTTGGTGACTCTGCCAGCAGAGATACACCTTGTAAAACCCAAGCCTGGGGCCAAGTACCAGCTCTAGGCTTCGTCTCCACTGCAGCTCCAAGTGTCACCGAAATCTTAGATCTCGGTCTGGATACAGGACCCTGATGGATGGAGCTGTGTGGTCTGATAGATGGAACCTACACAGCACATTTGTATGTGGAGGCATCCAAGTTGATTTAAAAGTCAACTTTAAAGGAAGGTAGGCTAACGCTGGTAAAGAGTACAGGCCTCTTTTTTGGAGGACAATTTGGCAATATCTGCCAACACATAAAATGCACAGAGCCTTTAACACGATAAATCTTCTTCCAGGAATTCATTTTGTGGGTAAATCAGTCCACGTGACCAAAGATACATGCAGCGGGGTAGTTTCTGCAGCACGGCCTGGAGAAGCAGAGGACGGAACTAAACGTCCATCGGCGGGGGCCTTCCCGGTTCGTTATGTCAGAGCACAGCCATACAAAGCACGACTGCGGACAGGACAAAGGAAGAGCGCTGAAGTGTGAACAGGCTTGAAGAAACGTTCTTTACTAGACAAAAGCAAGATGCAGGAAGGCAAGTAAAGTGTACCCTTCCCCTCTCATACACACACTTTTATATAAAGAATCCAAAAGCAAACACCATGAGCTGGTAGCAGTGACGGCTTCCGTGGAAGATGTTAGGACCCGAGACTTGAGTTGAGGAGACTTACTTTTCACTCATATGCCCTTTTGAACTATTTGCATCTTTTTCTTTTTTAACCATACACACAGGGGTTATTTACACACACACACACACACACACACACACACACACAATCTACCACCCACTATAACTATGTAACAATTTAAAAGAAAATATGGGCTTTGGTTAGATCGATCTGTTTGGGTTTAAATTCTTGTGCACAACCTTGGGCAAGTTACTTAATCCCCCCACGCCTCAGTTTCCACATCGGAAAAATGGAAGCAACCATACAGAAGGGGTCACTGTAAGGATTAACCCACTAAAGGAAGCAGGACCTGGTGCAAAGTAAGCACTCAGTGAAGGGGAGAGAGAAGCTGGCAGGGAGAGGCAGCGGGAGGGAGTGCTAAAGGGTGGCCGAAGAAGGCAGTATTTAACCGAGAAGCTGAGAACCTGGAAGCTGACACCATGTCTTAGACCTGCCCTCTGTGTGTCTAGTGCAGGGTTCTGCAGGCGGCAGAGGCTCAAAACATACTGTAGCTCGTCGTTGCTCCTGCTGTCCAGACCCACAGCCCTTCTGCGAGTTATGGTGACCATTTCCTGGACCATTTTCCAGTTTCTCTGAGCACTAGCCAGGTCCCACTGAGCCTCTCACTGACACGAAAGTCTCTCCGAGCTCCCTGGCCCAGCCTTTCCTTTTCCATACTTGATATTTAACTCCTTCTGTTCAGGGATCTTTTCTCAGAGACTCCTCTGACACGTCACGGTCACAGACATTCCAGGTCCCATGAAAGAAGAGAGGAAAGGATTATCTGTTCTCGGAAACTAATTTAAAAGGGGCAATAATTGCTACCACTTACTGAGAGCCTTCTAGGCCAGTCATTCACATATTATCTCCAATGCTCTCAACACTCTTGCAGAATAGGTATTATCTCTATTTTACAGGTGATGAGAAAAGGCACTGGAAGTTAAATCACTTGCTTCATGTCACACAGCTAATCAGTGTGAAAGCGGGGATTAAAGTCAAGATCTGTTCGATTTCAAAGCCTCCGGCATTCTTATACATTATGGTTCTCACCGTGAATCTACCGGATCTCAATCCAAGAGAGAGCAGCAGTCAAAACTATGCCCCCAAAAGCCCAAGAGCATGAAGCAGAAGCTGTTTAAAGGACAAACAAGTGAGTGGGATGGATTTATTAATATTGAACTCACATCCAACAGCACTATAGTTCTTGTTTGAAAAAAGCTTATCTAATACCTATATTTTCTCTGTAAAGCACATCACAGCTTTCTTGCCATAGGAAAACTTGACAGTACTTTGACGCCATGCTTGGGGGCCATCTTAAACAGTAAAATCACCATCAGAAAGCACAAAAATGCAAAAAAAAAAAAAAAAGTGTCACTAAGTAGATCGCACAAAGGACACTGGTTTATAGCATGAGAGTTGAAGCAGAAGGCAGAACGTCACCCTGGTGAGCCTCAGCTGGGAACGTGTGCATCAGGAGGCTCAAATTTTTCACCACTCTGTGCATGTCCACAAATGACCACAAAAGTGCTATAAATATTGATTTTGGAATTACAAGTAAATTTTAGAGGGTGGGTAAATTTGCAAATATAGAATCACAGATGAGGACTGACTCTGTGTGTGTGTGTGTGTGTGTGTGTGTGTGTGTGTGTGTGTGTGTGTGTGTATCAAATAAAATTCAAGCCCAACAACAACGGAGATGTTGGCAATTCAGAAAGTACAGCCTGGCTCAGTCATCAAGACAGAGATAGTAAAGATACAAGGCAGATCGAGGACAGGGTAACAAGACAAAAGCAGCCTACTATCCATAATGCCAGGCCTTGCAGACCGGGGTTGTGGCCATCAGCCAGCAACAGACTCTAAGGGGTCTTGGAGAGTGGGGTTAAGAGTAGGTTATGGTAGCATATTATTGTGACCACAGGAAACACAGCCACACTGTTGGTCTGCGGTGACTTAGTTGTACAAAGTGCCATTCCTGTCCATTTTGCCATCTCCCACATTTGGCCCTGGGTATGAGGGAAGCTTTCTCTCCACCTAGATGCCTAACATGGTCCTGTCCCAAGGATTCAGAGCCTAGAAGTGTGTCTGAGGGCAGAAAGCACAGGTGTACAGAGGTCAGAGCTACTCTAGTGAGGAACTGACCCTCCAGCATGTGAGAACCCAGCCAGCAGCCATCTAAGGAGCCCATCTTCCAGAGCTGAACCCAGGTAGGTGGCCTAGGAAGAGAGTGGATTTGGGGGTGGAGCCCATAAATTAATCAAACAGCTCCGAGAGCTGTTGAAGGCCTTTGGTTTGTAGATGGGTGAGACGTGACCTTTGGTGAGAGTCTCCGTATTGCCAGCTGCTAGCCCAATGCCTGGACCCTAGATGCTCATTAAAATCTGTGAGGGAGTGTGGGAAAGAAAACAGGAAAGGAGCATGAATGGCTAGAGATACTTTTGTTTATTTTATTAGGGCGGGGTTCTACTAAGAACATCAGTGTTGATCCAACAGACTCAAAAATAGTATACTTATATTGTACTTTTTGTTTTTCAAAGCACGTTTATATGTCATTTTGTCTATCCTCGAATTAACTCAATATAGTAGAGGGGATAGATATTAATGCACCACGTGGTTAGTTGAAGTAACTGAAACGTAGAGCAGTCAAGAGATTTGAGCAAGGACGCACAATTAATAAATGACATGGCCAGCAGTTACGACCTACACATTTCTGACCGGTTGTACGGTAGGAAGCAGGCCTTGATGTGTGTGCCCAGACTCCGTCTCCATTATCATTCAGAAGTAGCTCCCCATTCCCAGGCCCCCGGCAGGAAAGGATTCAGGTGGCACCTGGGACACACAGCCCAGACTCTGGAAGGCCAACCCTGTAGGAAGCATAGGCTTCACATCAGAGGAACAAGAGACATGGCAACAGACCCGAAGCCAGTGATGCTGCTGGTCTGGTTTCCCGAGCTGGGAGTGAGGTGCCAGGAAGCCAAGCGGGCAACCCATGCCAGGCCAAACAGGCAATTAGCACCCACAGAAACGCCGCTGCCCAGCGATTGCTCAAGGCAATGAAACTCTGGGCCTGCTTGTTCCCGGGACAGAGGGCACGTGAGCCGGAAACCTGTGTTCAGAGAACTGGAGGGGTCACCACACAGGTCCCCAGGCCTCAGATTCACGGTGTCCTCATAGCAGAGAGCCCATCAGCTCAGGGAGCCAAGTTGATCTCCATGTCCTTATTCTGGACTTGGTTTGTTCATCCCGCTCTTGATGGCTACAGCCCGGTCCTTCCTTTTACCTACCTCCAGTCAAGACTATTGTACGGACCTCTTTTCTGGTCTTCTCTCCCTCCAATATATGCTAATTCTTCATGGGTCCCAGTCCCATCCTGCAATTCCTCACTTTTTCATTCTCCCTTCCTGGCCTTGGATGGAACCTGCTTTCTTTGGCCTTTCCAGTACTTTCCCCACACTGTTTGTACTGGTAATACTGGTAAAAGAGAAGTTGCTGGTAGGGAAACTGGCCCTGATCAAACAGGAATGCTGGCACGTTATTGACAAAGTCTGGGCATCCTAAAGTTGGCTTTCTGACCTGGGACAAGCGAGCCATGGGTGAAGTTATGGGCGTGGATTGAGTGTGGAGGTCTGACCAGGAGTGCACTTTCTCTTGTTCCAAGAAACAGTTTGATTTGGACAAGAGGGCAAGCTCTGAGGCCGAGTTTTGGGGCTTTCCCAAGGACATGCCTGTCTCTTAGATTTGGAAGCTGTTAACCTTATCAGGGGAGGGTGTTGACTCTGGAAAGATAGACATATGGGTTAGTGCAGAGGGCTGTGAGACAATGGGGTAATGGAAAGATGGGAACCTACGTAGTGACCTCGAGAAAAAGATTTCTGAGAGAGCCAGAGGACACAGCTGGAATGAGGACTGAGGAGTAAGAAGGTACCCCTCAGCAAGGTCCTGTTGCCCCCAGTGGGTGTGAGGGCTGCATGTTCCATGGGCATAGTAAAGAAGGAGACACAGAAAATGCAAGAGTTCTCTTCATGGGAAATCTTGCTTCCTTTCCTTCTTGGCCTTGGGGAGGACTCACCTGAAGAAGCCTTTGCAGCCTTCACAAGTCATAGCGTTGAAGTGGAAGCCTGTGGCTCGGTCTCCACACACTCCACAGATTCGAGGCACATTTCGGTCAAAGTCGTCAGGGTCAGGCAGGGAAGTGCTGGCTGCCATCGCCTCCATCCCTGCAACAACAGCAAGCAGGCCATGGCCGGAGCGGGAGTCAGTGCCAGGGCCAGCTGGCATCCTCTGCATCCCTTCTGCCCCCATTTTCCTGGGAGTGCAGCAAAACTGGGCAGCTCCTCAGGCCCCAGGTCAGAGCAGGATTTCTTTGGTGCTCTCTCTACAATGACTCTCCATACCCCCAGATTAGCCTCCTGTCACTCTGCTGGCCATGAGCAGAAGCAGGGTTCCCTTTCCCAAGTCTGGAGTGAAATCTGGGGGCGGGGCACTGTGGTGAAGCCATTCATAGCATGGCTTAGAATCAAACTGCCTGGGTTCAAAGGTTGCATCTGCCACTTACAAGCTGGGCTACTTTGGGTGAAGTGACTAGCTTCTCTGTGTCCCACTGTCCTCCTCTTTAGAAGAACGGCGTTTTACTTTATAGGGTATGAGGAAGGGTTATATGAATGAAGATACGCGTACCACTGGCATCCGCTCCACCTCAGAAGCAGACCTGCAGCAGGTCAGAAGCCTCTGTCTTGCCCAGTGCCCTGCTCCAAGAGAAAAAGGAAGACCACCGACGGCCTCAGACCTCACATCCAAAGAGAAGCCCTCAACTCCTCTTTTCTCGAGGGCTAGGGGAGTAAAGGACTTACATGCCCACGTCAGAGCTTTTGTCATTCCAGTCCCAGCTCCTAGGACTAACAGGAATTGTGCCCTTGCTGTGCTGGTACCAAGACAATCAAAGTCTTTTCCTTCTTTTCTTACCCCTTATAAATTTAACACATTGTTTTGAACACCCTTCTGAGTACCGTGAGTCATATACGATTAACTAATTTTGTTTTCAGAGATGGCTTTTATAAATAAGTATTATCATTTAGAAATAGATTTCACACTTGAGGAATGGGGAAAAGAAATAGAGAGAACAACATATAATAGCTTTGAGAAATCCTTCTTAGGAAGCAGCTTTTCCATTAGGCAAACTGGGCCCTCTGACCTGGGACCTGCTACACCTGCTGCCTTTGATCCCAATCGCTGTCAGGCGCAGAGCTGCTCTTGGGGTACCTCGGGCCTCCCTAAAATGGCTTCAAACCCTGGTGCCTTCCAATTTGATCTGAGTCCTCACAAGTGGCCCCTTGGCCCCATGCCAGGAGGGTCCCTCAGCTCTGAAGAAAAATAATAGAGGACAGTAATGAGGGGATAAGTGCCCTGCCCCTCCCACCAATGGTATCATGTGCTCCCGCCCCCCAGGGAGGCTCTGAGCTTCTTTTCCATAATGAGGCCCATGATCTCTGGGCCAGGGTTTGGCACATCAAAGCGTAGGAGAGTCTTATTTAATTTCTTCTTCACGAAACTTACCTCGATGAGCTAAGTGCTATTATCACTCCCTTTACAAGTGAGGCCCAGAGAAATCTGAATCTTGAGGTATCTCTAGAAACTATGATTATGATACCTATAAAACAAACATTTAAAATTTAATTCTACAAAGAGCTTCGAGCCAAGGGAAGACAGTGGGACAGATAAGGATATGGCATTGTCAGTCCCAAGGGGGCAGAGGGGACCTTGACCACAGACAGATGTAGCAGATCCTCTAACTTGCTCCTTCAGCTTTTCTTTTTCTGGAAACTTTAATAATAGTGACACTATCACAGCTAGATTAATATTTGTTAAACTATAAATAATATTAATATAATATAGAGAGAAGAGAGAGAGAGAGATTTTTAAAAAAGGAACAAGGCAATGATTATCTTTGAGAGAGTAAGATGGGGATGGGGAGCAGCAGGTAGAGGCGTCATTTAGTAGTCACATTCTATTTCCTTGAGTGGTAGGTATAGGGTTTATTATTATTATTATTATTATTAAAACACTTTTTATGTTTTATATGTCATCTGTATATATAAAACATTTTATAAATACAGATTTTATTTAATTTTAAAACAATTAAAAATAATAGAAAAGATGCCTGTGGCTCTGTCAACAGTATCCCTATAACCCATCCCAGGTCCAGGCAGAATGCCCAGGCTTCTAGAGCATCACACACGCACATCTGTGGCAGGGATCCCAGAGTCCCAGCACCATTGTGGGGCAATAGGAGAAGCTGTCTAGGATGCCTGCGGCTTAACCCCAGTTCAGCTGAGATGTTGCAACTCTCAGTCATTGCGATGTTGCCACTGAGTCTGTGTCATCCGGGTGACCAAATATCTGGTGGATTTGGTGGGGAAAAACAAAAATCAAATGTGGAGGTGGGGGGAATATCAGTCAAATCAGCCTAAGAATTGCTCAGCATCACATGGGCTCATTAGGAGATATTATGATGCAACAGGGTTGGAACAACTGATTCCACAGAGTGGCAGCAGTGCCGTCCTATAGTGGGGCTCCTGGCCTGGGGCTGGGGCCCAGGCACTGTGTTTGGCAGGACAGAGGGTTGGGCTCGGCAGCCAGAGGCCCACCGTGAACAGCATCGTTTTAGGTGAGCTGAGAGAATACAGCACTGCTTATTTGCTTATTTGGAGTTATTTGCTACTGTCAAGAAGGCAGAGCCCAGGATCGGAGTCCAGAGGTAGTAAAGAGGCCCGGCACGTACAGCCCGGGAGCTGGCATTCCCAGGAATGGCACATTGATAAAGACTGAAGGGCAGAAGAGAGAAAGAGATGGAGGCTGGAGAGGAAATAGCACCACGCTATTGGCCCCCTGGGGTCCCAGCCCCGGAGTCAGCAGATCCCTCCCTCCTGATCCCCTCCGAGCACAACCCCCACCACCACTTCACAGGACTCTGGGTCTCAGCTGTGGGCCGCCGCGGATTCTGCTGACACCAGACCGACCCGCATGTGCAAAGCCCAGGGTAGTATCCTCTTCCTTCCCCTGCCCACCACCCTTCTGTGGCCCACCCTGCCCCTGGAAAACAAAAAGCCAGGGAGGTTGTGGTAACACCCACCAAAGAAACACACACCTGAAGGAGCAGGGGGGCAGGTGAATTGAGCCCAGGGGTGCCCTTCTGTGAGGTCTCACGGATACTTCTGATCAAAAGAACTCTGAAATGAAAAAAGGGAAACATTTTATCTACCGCTCAGCACTGACCTCATAGGCAGTCCTCTAAGGAGCCCAATAAGCGGGTGAGAGAGGCTCTTTACAGGGACACCCGTCTCCAGATCGGGGACTGAAACTTGACGGAAGTGATTTGTTGAGGACAGGCGTGCCGTGCCATGTCATCACTGGCAGGCGTGAGGGGCGGGAGCCAGGAGTGGCCCTCCCTTGAGGCAGGGAGTAGCAAGGAGCAGCGAGGGCAATGGAAACAGCCTCCCTGCTGGAGGTTCCCCTGTAACAGCAGAGGGTGTCAAGAGGAAGCAGGGCTTCTTTCTAAGGGGGTACCACCACTACCAAGGTCCCAATCCCAGATTTGAGGGGTGCTCAGAGAAGCAGAGCCACAGGGTGGCCTGGCCCGCTGCCAAGGACAGGAAGGAGATGGGTGCCCCATACAGGACACAGAGGAGCCTGGGGGAGCTGGGAACTGCTAGGGCTGGGACATGGTCCAGGGCCTGGCCTTTTGAGATGGTTTCAAAGACAGGTGTCTGGGGATCTCCTGCTGTGGAGACTGGGTCTAGGCAGAGCAGATGCTGCAAAGGTTACATACAGCCATGGACTGCTTTCAAACAGGATGTTTTCTGCCACTTTTAGCTCTCCCCTAGACATGCTCAACACCCCAGGGCTTCCAAAAGAGCTGAAGGTGACTCTGGGGCCCAGACTCTGGGTTTTAGTGGCATAATGGGTCACCAAGGTGGGGCTGGCAGAATTTCACCCTCCTCATTTCCACCCACACCCAGCTCTGTTTATCTACCCATAGAGACAGATATACACACACACGCACACACACACCCTTCCTTCACTGATGCCAACAGGAGTTGGTTGGGAAGGTATATAGATATGTGGGTGCCTGACTCTGAAACCTGGAGAAGACCTTTAAGCCAAACCCCAGATGGGGAAGGTCTAGACCCCCAACTTTTGTTTCTCTGTCTCCTAGTGGCCCAATGAGACAGGGAAGGGGCTTCCAAGACGTGGGCCCAGTTCTAGGACTGCCAGCCCATTGAGCCCACTTGGGTTACTGCCAGCCTATATGGAGCATCCAAAGAAAACGTCATTGGATCATGAGCTGAGGTAACCTGAGCTAGGCTAGCCCACTCCCAAGGACCTTGGGTGGGATGAGGCATACCTACTGGGGACAGACCTGTTGTCACTTACCCCCCAGCTAGGTTCTCCTTTGTTCCCTCTACTTGTATTGCCCAAGGCCCCTGCTGACCACACTCTTTGGGATCTACCTTATGGCCTTATCTACTTCCCAGACCCGCTGCTTGTTCTTTAGAGCCCTGAGGTGAAGGCCAAGGGTGAACAGAAAGGACCACTGCTTTTCTGTCCTCAACCTCTAAGATTTTCAGAAGTCAGACATCAGATCCTGGTAGACTATCACCCTTGAGTTTGAAAAATAAAATGTGTGGAGTATTGACTCTGTGCCAGCCTGCTAGGCTCACACACATGATCTCATGTAAGCCTCATAACATCTTGTGAGTTGAGGAGCAGCCTCATTTTACAGAGGGCAAAACTGAAGTCCAGAGCACTTTGAGTGACTTACCAAAGGTTCCGTGGTCAGGCAACTGGTGGTGCCAGGGGCCAAACAAGGACAGGCTGACTGCCATGCTCAAGTGTGTCCCTTGCCTCCTGCTGACTCCTCCCATTCTAGTGCTAACCATCAGCACAGACACTATCACTCATTTAATCCTTATGACAATCCCACAGGCGGATATTGTTACTATCCCCATTTTAGGCACGGGAAACTGAGACACAGAGAAGTTCATTGTCTCTGGAGCCCAGATTTGAACCTAGGCAGTTTAGATCCCAAGCCTCTACTCTGCTGCCTTTCCCAAGGGAAATATCTGTCATGTCCCCAACCCTAAGCCTTGGATACCTGTCACTTCTACTGCGTCAGAGAGCAATGGAAAGAACAATCCCCAGGCCATGAGAGAACAACATCATGGTGCTTTTCCTACTGAGGTTCTTCCTAAGACCAGAGGATGGCAGGCCTCAGCCAGGACCCCCTTTCTGAAAGCCTCCCCTTCTTATCTAGAAAGCCCCATTCTACAGACTGGCCTCCCTCCCCTATGCAACTGTGCACGACTGGATGATCCTTGATGGAGATATTATCTTAGATTTAGCCTATAGGTCCAAGGGCGTGGGAAGTGGAGCAAAGACACAGGGTAAAAAAAATAAAATAAAAAAAAGAAAAGGACAAGTGGAAAATAATGCTTAATACCAGCCCCCTTTGCCATATCATAAACCCTCCCACCACACCCCCAATTCATGTTTTGAGTATACAGAACATCCCACTGCTTTTGCCGGGGCTGTCCCCAGAGCAACTCCCGCCCACCTCTGCTTTAGAAATACCCAAAGCCACGGCACGGAGCCACAGGGAAGCAGAGGCGGCAGAACTCAGCTCTGCAGAAAGCCCCTGGCTTCCAGTCCCCCAGGGTCTGCATCCCACATCAAACTCCTGCCAGAGCCTGACCCTAGGTCAGACCTCACCTTAACAAGAAATGAAGAGATAACGTGTTTCCTTTCAGTCACCAAAGCCACAACCACTGCCTCTCCTACACGTCTGTCTATCAGCTCACAAGACGCCCCATCTTCCAGTGGCTTCTGGTAAATAGGCATCCCTGGGCAGAGTCTCACCAGGACAGCCTCATGGGGTGGTAGCTGCAGGGTGTTCTGGGCAGAGCCCCGCCAAGGCAAGGATCAAAGTGCCGCTGGGCTAAGGTTAACTCTGCCACATTCGCTAGATCCTCCTCAGAGTCCTGAGGGTGGTTTAGCTGTGATTCTGGGAGGACAAGTGATGGAAGAGTGGTCTGACCTCTAAGGGCCTTTTCAGCTCTGAAAGTATCGACTCCCAGGCTGGAATCGCCATCGTGATGAGGCCATAAGGCCACTCGGGATGTGAGATTCTCTCATTGAGTTTTCTCCCTGACCCCTCCAATAACCAGATGAGCCCCAATGTGCATGTGAGCACCAAGTGAAGTCCACTCACCCTTGGATGCTAATAGGCAGGAAGGGCATGAGTGATGTGGCCCCACCTGAACCCCATGGAGAATGGAGCCCAGGAGAGGGAGCCCTGCTCAGCCTCGTTGGGACTGGTGTGAACAAAACAGGGCTTTCCGATTGTTGACATTGGCTCAAAGTCCCCTCTTCTAGAAAGAAATGGAAAGCTAAGTGATGTCCCAGCAGAGGGGGAGAAAATTCTTCCTAAAATTGGCACACTCTCTCTGGAATAGATAGGCCTGTGTGGACACCAGTCACAACTGCACACGTGCGTGCATACCCTTTCCTGCTGTTCTCATTCATCATTCTTTCAACTCTGCCCATAGAGTGCTGGACACTGTATGAACTACCTTACTTTTTATTTGTCGTCTTTTTATTCTAGCCTAACTTCGGCACAGCAATCTCATGGCTATAGCTATGATCATGCTCTTTCTTCTTTTTCCACTAACCTCAACATATACCCACATTCTTTTTCCAGAATAGTCTCAGTGTTACCTCCCAGAAGAAGCTGAAGGGGAAACAGAACGAAAATGAGGGCAAGGGGAGAGAAAGTGTACCCTGTATGAATAGAACTTGTCCAAACTATTTCTTGCCCCCATTGTCTCCCCAGCTCCTCCATATGCACATATTTTAAATATGGGTGAGAGTGGTTGGAAATTATTTTCTGCAGACTACAATGTCCAAAGTAAAACCCGATAGATACCAGCCCTCTCAGAACATCTCAAGATAAGAAGGGAACTTAACACTGCCTGGTCCAATTATCTTAAATCCCCTTTATAATATTCTATCCACTTTTCGAGCCTGTGTTTGAATATTTTTTCTGATGGAGAATATCTCCTATGGCAATCCACTCCCTTTGGATGGCTCTATTCTTAGAAAGTTCTTCATCATGCACAGATGACATAGCCTCTGTCGCTTAAATCGCCAGTGCTATACCAGCTCTTTGCAGCCATCTAAGAACTTGAGATGAACCTACTAGGCCATTCCCACAGCTTCTCCAGAGGAGGGGTCGGCAGGGCCACCACAGGGAGCCATTATGCAAATTAGAAAAGGGGGCCCATCCCTCGTCTGCTGAAAAACTGTCTTAAAAAATAGAAAAATGTACAATGTCTATGCGAATGAGGGTGCAAGCGCGAAGCAGAGGAAACTGGCCTGGACTACACTTAATTTGATTTAGAATACATAAACTTTCCAGGTATAATCTTGATTCCCACAGGGCAGTGAGGTGATGAGTGCGGACAGCATCTACCTTTGTGGCCTTCACCTGGAGAGAAGTTTCCGGCCCAAGAAAAGGACTCTGTGGGAGAGTGTGAACAGCTGCATAAGCTCTGCCAAGCCTGCCTGCCTCCTCCATCTTCGGCTCTGTTGATAACAGAGAAGGCTGGCCTAGCAGTGTAGCTCTAAGAAAACGCATGAAGTGTACTTAACTAGTTAATGACTGACTGAATGATAGGAAATGAAGTGATAACCTAGCAGTTGCAGGAAGGAGTTTAGCCCTGAGGGTGTTTCTTAATGATCCCTTTGGGGAATAGACATCACCTTGGAGAACCTGATAAAGGTCATGAGCTGACACTCATTCAATGTCAAGGGTTAGCAGGTCACTCCATAGAAACCAGGCTATAAACTCCCACTCCACTGGCCATTCACCAGCATTCTTTCTTGGCTGACTGTTCTGTCACTCTTGGGAGCACTGACAGCTTCTTGGAGTTGAGGCAGAAACCCACAAGCCCTCAGGCCATGGGGCAGGAGGTATATCGCTTACTTAGATATATTTCCACTTCTTATCACAACAATTATTCCTGCAAGCTGCTTTTTTCCAGTGGAAACTCTGCCCTCAGCTTTGTCAACAAGATTTCTAGTATGATTATTGCACTCCAGGTAACAGGCAGGTCATGCCCTGTCACTGTCGGAAAGTGTGGGCAGCGACAGTAGCCAGTGAAGCATAAGGAAC